CCTTCTAAAGAACTAAACTCCTCATCCACAGCTTTACACCACTCCTTGGACTTCTTTGCCTCACGAAAATTCAGGGGTTCAGAACAGAGAAGAGTAGAGTTTATAAAAGCATAATGAAGCGAAGAAAACTTATCATAGGATAGATAAGCAGAGAGAGGATACAAAGAAGAGAAGTTGCACAGATAGTCCTGTAAATAGGAAGGGGGTTGTCGTGTTCTATGTGAAGGAGTTGTCAAAGACAAACTACCATCGGAAGATGATTGCACAATCGGCGAAGTATCATCTGAGGATGTTGTCACAGAGGGCGAACAAGCATCAGGAGAATTTACAGGACTAGGAAAGAAAGCTTTTACTGTATCGGAAATTGAGGAAACAGCAAAAGGAAAGATATGTTCATGAAAAATGACATGCCTGGAAATGGAAATGTTATGAGTTTCAAGATCCAGTAGTTTGTAACCTTTGTAACCTGCTAGATACCCCAAGAAGACACAAGCTTTTGCTCTTGGATCAAATTTTGTTCTTGACTTCGTAGAAGTACTCTTATAACAGAGGCAACCAAATGTCTTTAGTTGGTGGTATTCAGGTGTTTTGGTGGTAAGAAGTTGATATGGAGTTTTGTTTTTGATGATGGGAGAAGGGAGTCTGTTGATGAGGAAAACAGCAGTGAGCACACAATCACCCCAATAGATGAGAGGGATTTGTGATTGAAACAACAGAGCTCTAGCAACATTTAAAATGTGTTGGTGTTTTCTCTCAACAACAGAGTTTTGTTCAGGGGTTTCAGGACATGAGTGATAAGGGATGATACCTTTGTCTTTGTAAAGTTTTACAAATGATAGTTCAGGAGCATTGTCGGACCTAACAGATTTGACTCGTGTTTGATATTGAGTTTCAATCATGTTTAGAAAGTTTGGAAAAACGTGAAGTACATCCGACTTTGATTTCAACAAATAAACCCAAGTGGCACGGCTATAATCATCAACAATAGTGAGAAAGTATTTATAACCATCATAAGTTTCAACAGAGAAAGGCCCCCAAACATCAATATGCAACAAGACAAAAGGTTCAGCACTAATTGAAGTAGAAACAGGAAATGAAAGACGTTTTTGTTTAGCCAAATGACAGACTTCACAATGACTATCATGTTTGGTTTTATTCGCAGGTAAGTTCAAAGTTTGATATAGGGATTCTACTTTTGAAAAAGCAGGATGACCTAAGCGAGTATGCCAGGTGGTGACATCAGCAACACTAGAACAGACAATTTTATTTTCAGTAAGTGAAGAAGCAGGACGTAAAGTACCCGACTCCAAGATATAAAGCTTTGAAATGCGTCTACCCTTGCCAATCATCAATTCCCGAGTAAGATCCTGTATTAAACAAGAATGAGATGTGAAACTAATCATGGAATCCGTATCATCAGTTAATGAACTAACACTCAACAGATTGAAATGAAAAGAGGGAACACATAACACATTTTTCAAGACTATCTTCTCACTAAGTGTAATTGAACCTATACCGACAATGCTTTCTGATTTGCCCGAAGGTAAGGTGACAAAGGTATCAGTGAAAGGGGATAGGTGGGAAAATAAGGAAGAGGAATGACATACATGGTGTGTTGCCCCTGAGTCTATTATCCATGAATCAGAAGAAACCATAACATTTCCAGAAGAGAGCACAAAAGGCATGCCATAAAAAGAGTATAGAGTGAGGAAAGTACCAGACGCTTTAGAAGCGGATGATACAGCTAAAGTGGAGGCAGGAAGACCTTCTTGTGCAGGAGTAGATGGTGTACCGCTGTGACTGTGAAGTTGAGTGCTGAAGTAAGCAATGAACTGTTGCATCTGATCAGGAGTGAGAGCAACAGATGGTGAAGCTTGAGGACTAGGAGTTGATTGCTGCGTTTGAGTCTGGACATCTTGATTCTCAGAGGTAACAACCATATTTGCGGAGACTTGTTGTTGAGGATTGAACTTTTGGAATTTGTTCTTTGTCTTGAAACCAGGAGGATATCCATGTTTCTTATAACATCGATCCACAACGTGACCCAAGGCGCCACAATGAGAACAAACTGGTCGAGGCTTCTGATTAGAAGTGACCTGAAAGGCTGTGGATTCAACACCATTGCTAGGTGGAAGTCTAGCAGATCTCTGAGAATCGTCATTGTCCAGGATGTTGTATACCTCGGAGAGAGTAGGTAAGTTCTTCTTCATAAGAATTTGACTTCTAACATGATCGTAGCAATCATTCAGTCCCATGAGAAAGTCAATCACACGATTGGTTTCTCGTTCAGCAAGCAAATCTTCAACCGTTCTAGTAGAACCCTGTAGGCTTGACAACTCTTCCCAATAAGTCTGAGTCTGAGTGTGATATGAAGAGAGATCCATATTCCCTTGGCGAAGAGAATGCAACTGGTGACGAAGCTTGTATAGTCTTGGCAAGTTGGATTTGTGAAATCGAGTGTGTAAATCCTTCCAGATCTCAGCTGCTGATTTGAAGTAGAGAATACTTGTATAGATCTTCTTCGCAACACTGTTGAGTATCCAAGACTTGACCATACTATTGCATCTATTCCAGATTTTGGAATACGGATCGTTATCATCAGGTTTGGGAATCGATCCATCAATAAAGCCTATCTTGTTCTTCGCTTCAAGACTAGTGGTCATAGCAACAATCCAGATCCCATAATTTGTTCCATCTAAGAGTTCCGACGCTAGAACTAATCCTGGATGATCTGAACTGTGCAAGTGATAAGGACTATGGAGGTTATCAGGAGAATCAGATACCTCGAATGCACGAGAAGTGCGATGTGGAGCAGGAGGAGAAGATGACCGAGGATTTGCGTTGCGATTGATGGATCCCGAGGCATCGGAAAGATGGGTGAATCCTCGAGATGTGTCGCGTTGAATCGGTGAATCATCTTCAGGAGTCGCGGTTCGATATAGAGATTTGCACTTTCGTTTCCCCATGGATGATCAAATCGGAGATGAAATTGATCGGAATCGGAGAAAGAGGTGAAAGAGCTTGTCGATAACGAGGCGCGAGAATGCGGAAACGGAGAATGAGAAAGGATCGAGAAGAATAGATTGATCGAAGAGAAGAAATCGACGGATCTATATCAGAGAACCACCGGAGATCGGAGGACGATGATCGGAAAATTCCGTTACGGGGATGGTGAGCTGGGCTCACGCTCTGATACTATAACAGAATGTAGGGAAATGATTTTCCTTTTATTAATGAAAATGATTACAATCACTGTTTATATACAGTTTCATTAACTCAGCTAACTAACTCAGCTAACTATATAAAATAATGGGTATTTACATATGAACCATGTATGCTATTATAACAGAATGTAGGGAAATGATTTTCCTTTTATTAATGAAAATGATTACAATCACTGTTTATATACAGTTTCATTAACTCAGCTAACTAACTCAGCTAACTATATAAAATAATGGGTATTTACATATGACCATGTATGCTATTTAGCTCGAGTAATTAAATTTGGTTTAAAAGTTACTAATACCAGTTAAGATATAAATCTTTCGATTTGTAGCTGAATATACATCTTCTGATATTGATATACGTATTTGGACTATAACCACTGTTTAGAAAATATGTTGCACGTTAATCAGACGATAGACCAACTTCTAACATATCTAAACGTATTCCACTGGATTTTTGATGATATAAACAGATTTCTAAGTTCCAAGAAAACATAACATAATAATTTCTCTATATAATCAAAAGTACGAGGATTATCGTCAATATGTGGACTCGATAAGAGGATATACTTGCATAAAATAGATCAAATTAAGTTGTTGTGGCCGCATGATAGCAATACCTCATTTTTGCATCATAAAACATATATGAAAGGAAAACATTTTATTTACAAAGAAAAACATTTACTTACTCTATTTTACGGAAGAAAGGAAAAAGAATTGATGATAACAAGACGAAGAAGCAAATAATGGAGCGACTTTTTGTTCAGCTTTTCTCGATCTGCTATGATTGATATTATATTCTTGAGACTAAGCTTAATTGAATAATCTTAAAGAGAAAGTAAAGCTGTTTTATTTAACATTAATCATTGGACTTTGTGTATTTGATTATCACATAATGATTAACCTATAAATTTTTATAAAAGTTTATATAATTTGCCTACGTTTAGAGTTTTTTTAAAGCTTCTGTACCAAAAATAATTATACCTTTATTATTAGACTTGGAATGCTTGCAACATGATAAACGATGTTGCTAGTGACAACGATACAAGCCAAATGATGTTGTCGGTATAGAATAAATGCTGCAAATGTTGAAACATTTTAGTTTTAAGTATTATTAATTGTTCAAATGGATCATAATTTCAATTTTACATATACACAAGTTTTCAATCAAAATTTGAAAGATAATGTGAATATAGTACGCAATATTAAATTATTAATATAATTAAACGTAATAGTTTATAGTTACTCTAACTCTAAGGAATCAGGACGTGATTTTGGTCACAATTAGTAACAGCGAGTAACTCAATTCTTATCTACCGTTTTGTTAATTAGGCAGATGTGTTTTGATTTAAGTTCTTGGTTCACCTCTAATTTCTTCAAACCGACATAAGTTCTTTTTGTATTTAAATTTCTCCAGCTTTTGAAACAGGCTCGATTTGAGCAAGTGTCCTAGTGGGCTTCCCGAGATTTTTAGAGCCTGAACTCATACATAAATCTTGTGCCTTTTAATTGCTTGTTCAAGATTTTAAACACAACGAGACTGAGAACGAAACCAAGAGAGAGACAGAACAAAAGTTTGAATAATGTGTCAGTGTTCTCAAGTTCAAAGTTTACGAGCATACAGAATAGTACAATATACGGTATTACGGTGTACATCAAAGAGGAAAAAGAATCGAGTATTGTCACTAGCATACTTTATCAAGAGTTCAAGACTATTTAGAATAAGTAGTCAAAATATATACGTATTTGTTTGATAGATGTGTGACATAATCTTGTTATTAAATAATTTGAGAGTTGGCCCTTTTAATTATTTATATAAAATATGTTTAAATTAGAAAAGTATCAAAAATACAAACGTACGTCAAAGACTCAGAAAAATAACAAGAAAAGTGTAGGAAAAAAAAGAAGAAAAAAAAGAAGAAAAAAAAAGCAAACACTTGCAAACCTGTGCTAAACTTTCCGAAGCAACATGCTTCATGGGCTTTTTACCCAGGCCCGACTCTGTTCTCATACACTTCAGTTGTCGATATACAAAACATCGTCTTTTGATAAGTTCATTTTCCCATTCTTCCTCCGCCCTCTCCTTTGAGCTCCATCCGATTCTCCTCTCTGTTAAAACCACCCGTTAAAACATACAAGAATCATGGGGAAACACAGTGAAAAACCGTGAAAGTTGCTAAAAGAAAGAAAGATCAAACCTTTCTCAAAACGAAAGAGAGGTATAGATATGCAGCTTCCCATTCATCAGCTGATAATGTGCCTGAAAAAACAAATTGATCAAAATAGTTTGTCTCTATCGCATTTGCTTATAATCAAACGGGTTATATATGAAGCGAGAATAGAACAAAGACTTACTCTGATCTTGGCTACCATCACCCAAAGCACCAAGCCTTCTCATGAGTTCTACAAACTCTGGTTTTTTCATATACTCATGGACAAACTCGTGTGAGTTCTTCACAAAGACCAACTCTAAATCATACTGTTCAAAAATTCATGGGACTAATGTCACGCTGATACATGACGAAGAAAAAACAGGTTTGTAAGCTAAGTCCATGAACATCGTCGAGAGGAGGAAAATAATTACCTCTTCGGCTAAAGACTTGAAGATGTTAAAGGGCACAATCCACTCAGGACAATCAACAGCATCCTACCATAAAAGCTCCCATGTTACATTTACTTTGTTAACAGCAAAATTGATAGAGGAAGTTTCTGGATAATCTTCATATAATCGCTTCTTTTAAAATGCTCCACTTAGTGATTACTCAACAAAATTGTAAAAAAGTTAAGTACCTCAAGATGAAACACGTATTCGATACCAAAGGGGCTGCTAGATTTGAACTTCTGAAACATACAACGGGAAATCATCATCAGAATTAGGGAAAGGGAAAACTGTCCTCTACACTACATTAAGAGAAAGCTACAAGGCTTTTGTTACTGAAGTAATAAAAAGAAGTATCACCTTATGGGAATGCTCTTCACCAAAACGAATCCAGTATACACTATTACCAATCTCCAAACCTTCAGCTGCGTATTCAGAACGGAATGTATAAGAACTTTCATTTTTTTTTATCAAATTAAGTTGGACTGACACACTGAAGAATCCATGTAAAGCCGTAACGCATAACTCGATGTTTATAGATTAAAGATCAAATTCTAAGCAAAGAAGAAGAATAAGAACCTTCTCTGAGTTTTTTAATAATAACATTGGCATCTGGCATTGTTCCGATAAAGACGCCTCCAGGACGAAGTAAAGCTGAAACATTCGCCAAAGCTCTTCGTGCACGTGCCTCAGTAGTCCATGAGTAATGCATAGCAAACTACAATTAAAACGATGACTCATTTCACCAAATGCTACTCGCATAATACAAAGCCGAAGTAAACTCCCATGACCAGTATAACCGAAGATGCTATGTGAAATCGATATTGAATCTTAAAAAACAAGTGACTGAAACATATGAAACCTGGCAACTGCAGATATCAAAAGGAGCATCCTCTTCTAGAATCTTGTCTAACTCTACCTGAAATCATTGAAATGCAATAACACTACTAAGATTCACAGATCGTCAAACAAATAATATTGAGTTTGTTGTTGCATCTGCATCTGATAATGTCAAGAATTTGTGTCTCAAACAACTTGAGGAGCGCTGACAAAGCAAAAAAAAAAAAAAAGATAATCGAGGAGCTTTTCTCACTATACCTCAAAACAATCCCCACATAATAAACGGGACGGAAAACTGAACTTTTTACGACGTTGATGATGGTCTGCATCACCGTTATAACGCGTGCGACAATCTTCAATCTGTCATTCAGTAAAACAAAGAAGCAATTCTAAGATCTAGTTATACTAATATTGCAGGGGAGAAAAAAAAAAGATGCAGATATATATATTATTCAGCCAGTCAACTTACCGACCCTTCAGCTATATCGATTCCAACATAATACCCGATCCTTGCTTTATCCCACTTGATTAAATCACCACCCTACCAATGTGAAAAGGAATACATTAGAAACAGTTTTGAGAAACAAGAATTGACATGAACAATAAGATTGTTCTAAGAAAAGAACCTTCCCACAGGCAAGGTCCAGAACAGCATCATCAGGACGAGCATAAAGCTGGATCAACACACTCTTAATCTGTTTTGCACGAAAAAGAAGAACAACTTGAGTATCATATCGTAATACAACAAGTCTCCTGGAGAGAAGAAGATGTAATGAGTCACCAACCCAGTTGTTAAGTTTCTTCAAATGGATGATGGGACTAGCTTCTCTCTCTTCCAAAGTCTGGTTCGTCCTTCGACTGTAATGATCAGCAACCTTCCGGGCAAAATTCCTTGTGGTATCATCTTCCAAAAACTGAGAATCACCTGATGCCAAACCAAAAAGAATTTGCCATTAAAGCTATACAATACCGTAGTCAAATTACATAAGCTGACACTTAAGCTACAAAATCATAAGAATTCGAGTAAAACTTGAACTAAAGTCGGACAAGACAGCAAAATACAATTCACAAACAAGTCAATTACCATTGGAATGAAAGCTATAAAGATTGAAACTTTTGTAACGGGCAAACAAAAAAATTATACAGGGCCAAAGATTGAAATCAAAAGGAAAAACCCTCGTCGAACTCAAATCGAATCAACGGATAACGAAGAACCCAGATTACAGAAAACGAAAACGAAGTTGAGAAGAGGAGAGGGGGAATGAAACCTTCGGGATTTGATTTGAATCTAGATGAAGAAGGAGGAGGAGCAGAGCTGGAGGGAGATTCGGAGCGTCCTCGTTTCATAACAAATAAGTAAGCAAGCTCGTTCCTATTTTTGATACTCTGCAATGATAAGAACCCCCAAAAAGAAAACGAGGAAAAGAGAGAGAGACAGAGAAAATTGGGGATTCTCTTAAATTTTCAATTTTTGTTTCTATGGGAAGCAAAATTTTTGTTTTGTCTTGTCGGTCTCTTTACTTGCTTGCGGCTGCGGCTTGTTTCATGGCTCTCGTGTTTCTGATTTCTGAATCTGATGCAACCAAAATAATGTGGCCACTAAAAAAAAAATGACTTAAACACAAAAAAGAACACATTCGTGTACCGATTCCACTGGGGATCGAACCCAGAATCTCTGGTTTCGTAGACCAGCGCCTTATCCATTGGGCCATGGAACCTGATTGTTAACCATTTAACCAAAACTTTTTATAACCCAAAACTTAAAGTTCATTACAATGATATGTGTGTAACAAAATCAACGTTAATTCTGATACCATGTTCACTAGTCAAAACCAAGGACTTTGATTCAAAATCATAACACATGAGACTAGAAACAAGTATTAAAAAAAAGAAACCAAATCATCTATTCCTAAGATCTCAACTTATGTTTCCGCGTCATTGTGTAGTAGATTCTAGAATCTTTGTTCTTTTAAACAGTTAACACAGTACTTGTCTTCCTCTATTGCTCTCACTCTCAGCTTCGTGCATCCCAAACATCGTATCATACAACGGCTTGTTCAACGTCTCGGGCAAGTAAAAAGCAAGCCCACCTCCAACTAAACCGCAAACCGCAAACACTCCAAACGGCAAACCCTCCCCTAAAACCACCACGAACGGCGCAAGAATCGCTCCCATTTGAGACGCTTGAGTCGCGCAACCCAAAGCAGCGTTTCTCACAACCGTAGGAAACAGCTCCGCTATATATATGAAAAGCAGATTATACGTTCCAGCCATTCCAAATATCCCTAAAACCCCTGAAACCATCCTAACCACTTTCCAAGGACCAACTCCTCCAACAACGAAACCAACAACGCAGAAAACGCAGCTGAACCACTGTGTCCCTATGGTCAACGGTTTCCTCCCATACCGGTCTAACAAAACCGCCGTTATACCAAACGCTGGCATTTCCGTCACTGCGTTGAGGAAAACGTTGAGGTAGAGATTGGTCTTGAGGTTGCCTACGTTGAGGCTTAGTCCGTAATAAACAATCGCCACCATGAAACTTATTGCGATAGCTAAGAGAAGCCTGATCCGCGTCAGAGGCGACTGTAAAACGTCTTTTAGCGATCCCTCAACCGCGTTATTCCTCTGGCCGTTTTCATTTTCCTTATCGTCGTCTAGAGCAAGAGTGACTCCAACGGGAATGTGACGCCCATTGGTTCTTGCAATAGAATGCATCAGTTCCATGGCCTTGTCTACTTTGCCTCTAATGAGATACCACCTTGGAGACTCAGGGATGAATGGGAGAACAATGAGCAAGAACAAGAGAGACGGTAATGAGGAGACTATGAAAAGCTCTCTCCACGACCTGAAAACGTAGGCAACGCCAGATAGAAGCGCAATGCCTGAAGAGAAGAAGTAGAATGTTGACATTCCGGCTACACCACGTTTGCTTGGTCCTACCGGTTCAGTGGCCAGGACGAAAGCGGTTAGGCCAACACCACCGGTGCTGAAACCGGTTAAGAATCGGAGAACCACGTAGGTCCAGTAGTTTGGGGAGAAAGCTGTCGCGATCCCAAAGATTGCATTGATGATGCACACGACGGTTAGTGAGCCTTTTCTTCCTAGCTTCGAGTCCGAGAGATGTCCGAATACTCCCGCACCTGCACATAATAAAATGGAGTCCTTACAATTTCATTAGGCCATGTTTGTAACCACAAAACTGTGTTCAGAAAAGTATACAATTTTTTAAAAAAGAAGGTATGTAAATTAAATAAAAAACATTGGTTAAAGACTTATTGCAAGATTTGATAGTTCATAATATGAGATATGTTGGGACCATAATGTATGTATGGTCTACGAAAGTGAAGTGCTTTTTGAGATATGTTGGCCCAATGCCTCAGCCTCACAATACCAAAGTGAAGTGTGCTTTTTGAGATATGTTGGACCAATGCTTCACAATCTTTTTGAGATATCTTCAGTGTCATTGGAGCTTGACAAGTCTTACGTAATATGCAAATGTAATTGGATATTCCTTCGGATATCCTATTGATTATATATAATACTCCATGTAGCAACTTTAGTCATTGAATAAACCAAAGCCAAACCGTCTCTTTTTTATGAGCTAATGTAAACGTAAGCCAAAATAAGCCAACAACTTTTTATTTTTCTATTATTAAGCCAACATCCACGAGTTTGATATTATAATTATCGTTTTGTTTGTTTGTGTAGATACGTAAGCGTTGAATGATAGCATAGTTTATCTATGTAATCTAGATAAGCTTGTGGTCATGTTAGTTTCAACTTTCAAATGTGAACGTGAATGTTGTAATCATCACTATAAAAATTTAAATACAAACACGAACGAACACTGAGTTAATCAAGAGCATAGCTACCAGATTAACAAAAAATGATGAAAAATCGATGATATTTCAAAATTTGAATAGCAACTTTCATTTCTTATAATATATAAGTAAAGATAAAAAAAAAAAACGGAAAGATGAATGAAATGATGTCGGCCATATAACAAAATGTATTTTTTTTTTAGGCAGGCGCATGCCACACCACGAAATGTTTGTGTTTTCTAACTTTTCAGATCAGTTCAATGAAACCATTTTTTAGCATTACCACGGAATTTAAAAGAAGAATATTATTATGACTTTTATTCCCAAAAAAGGCAAGAAGATAGAATGTAATGTGACTGATCAATTCATTTGTCAGTCACACACACGTATATTATATCATACAACAACTAAAACTCTTTTTTTTTTTATCACTATTGTAGATTGCTTTCTATTCTTATGCGGCAATAATTCATTTATTCTCCGTGTGTCAAATTTGGACCGACTATTATTAACGTTATGGGTAAAAAGCATTATCATCCAAAAATTTCAAATATATATAACAAAATTGGGTGGTACATATCATACAAGAGTCATGTGATCAGGGCACGTGGTATGATCCGCAAGGATCCAGATTAACCCCAACGTGCCCATCGAAGTGCTTTAAACTAATTTATTGGTCGATCGATATTTTAAGCACAACTAACAACCGTAATGAAATACAGTCAAATCTTATTCATTAATTATCAGATAAACCTCGAAAAGAGCTAAATCCCCGTAAATAAGGAAGGTTTTCGAACCTTGACCAAAAAAAAAAAGGTTTTCTGAATTAATCCTCTTTTATAAACCCTCAAAAGAAAAGATTTTCTAATTTTTGTTTGTGCTCTGTGTTTAAATATTTTGAGATTCATTGATCTTAAGAAAACGATTAATAAGTCTCTAATTTTTTTTGATGACCTAAATTTTTGATGGAAAAAAATAAAATGAATTCGACGTGGGATACCTACAGCTGTTATATGATCTGTTCTGTTATGGAAATATTCCAATCAAAACAAAAGACATAAAAGGAACAAAAAAAAAAACTTACCGATCATGCAACCGGTGAAGAAGAGGGCTTGAACGAGACCAACTTTATACTTATCGCCGCAAATCAATCCCCACTCCGACACGGTGGAGCTCCCTTTACCCTCCGTCCACTCCCAAGAACCCGGATCCATATCACAATACGATGACCCGACCCGACAATCCGACCCGACGCACCTCCACTCGGGTTCTTGATCGGCGAATATCATCACCATCGTGTGGAAAGCCTCTAGTGCCCAAGCAAGACACGTCAGCACGAAGTGCTTCATCTGCCACCTCCCAAACTCGCCGCAGTATCTCTGCAGCATCTCGTCTATGCATAATCTCTCCACTTCCTCCGCTTCTTTCTTCGCCGGATTATCCAGCAGTGGTTGTCGGACGTTGTTTTCCTCCGGAGATTCCATACTTATTTCGATTTCGAGTTTTTTTGTTTTACAGTGTTTTTTATTTATTTTGTTTTTGGTTTTGGAGGCGTTGATTTGTTTGACGCGAATAAGGAGACGGCTTATTTGTCGTATTTATAGAGGGTTTTGCTGGTTGTTATCGGCAAAACAAACTTTTCTTCCTTGTTTAATCACGTTTATTAGTTGTCTTTAATCTTTATCATCAAAAAATAAAAATATAATAGTTTCCCACAATCTATATTATTCATTTATTACATTGTTAATATAAATTCATTTCGAAATACTATTTGGTTAGTTATCTAATTAAAGCGTAATCGTTGAATACATTATACATGATTAACTATATTTTATATGTGTTTCTTAACACTTAACAGGTCAATGCTAAATTGACTAGCCATATTTTTAAGAACTCCATTTTGAACATATACAATTATGTTACGGATATCGCATGCTCGTTCTATTCCTGAATCTTCCGTTTGCCAACGTTAAGCTATAATCAAAATTATAGTACCAATTTTACCATCTGAATATACTATAAATTATTACTAGATTGCTGTAAATTTTTTTTTTCAGTCGGCAATCTAGCTGTAAAATCTAATAAACATAATATTGGTACAAAAAATTTGCCGACAATATAAGAATCAAATTGGTAGTATTCATTATTATTTATTTATGGCAATGTTTCTTACAATTTACAGCTACATTGCAGACAAAAAAAAATAACAGCTAGATTTTTATTAACCATTCTGTGTATAGCTGATAATTTACCATTTATTTTAGATTTTATGACGTTTAAATTAAATAGGAAATTCAATTGAACTGGCATTTTGGATTGTAATTTGATATTCTCTCTGTGCTAAAAAAATTGACGGTTTTGGTTTTTACACACAGATTAAATATTCATTTTATTTTTTTAAACTAAAAATAATATTTATTATCTATTCAAACTTAATTCAAACTATACAAAAAGGTCAAAAATAATATAAATTTAATTTTGTATTGAAAACTGAAAACATAAAATATTTGAGAACAAAAAAAAACTTCTAAAACATTATATAATAAAAAAACGGAGAAAGTATATGATTTTGTAATAACTTTCTATAAAATTCATCTATATCCTTTTTTATAAAATAAATTAAGTTTTGATATTGATCAATCAAATACAAATATCCTCTAATTGTAGCAAAGGTTATTAGGTTACAGTATTTAACGTTGTTTAATACAACTGTCTCTCAGCAAACCCTTCCACATTAACGTTGTTTAATACATTTTGATTGACTATAACAACGTTATCACTCAGTACACTCGTTGAAGGGTATTTCGGTCAATCTGCCGTATAATGCGTCCCTAAGAGTCTCGATTTCTAACCGTTGATCCTAATCTGATCCAACGGCAATCACACCGATCCGAGTGATTGCTTCCTATTGGATGAGCATAACTCAGGCGGTCTCTACAAGGTATATATATCCCCGAGTGCGTTGCGTCTACTGTGTAAACTCGTACGCTTCCCTCTTTTCGATTTGAAATTCCCAATTCGTTTCCTCTCTTCGAAATCGCAAAAATGGCGGGCCGTGGAAAAACTCTCGGATCTGGCGTTGCTAAGAAGTCGACGTCGAGGAGTAGCAAGGCCGGTCTCCAGTTCCCGGTGGGTCGTATCGCTCGATTTCTGAAGAACGGCAAGTACGCCGAACGTGTTGGTGCCGGAGCTCCGGTATACTTGGCCGCCGTTCTCGAATACCTCGCCGCAGAGGTAACTTAATTCTCGTTTCTCCTACTTCTCCATCTCCTTCGATCTAGTAGGTTAATGTATTAAACCGTAATCTGACCGGTTTGGTTTTTGTAAAATTGGATCTGTGTAGGTTTTGGAATTGGCTGGAAACGCAGCGAGGGATAACAAGAAGACGAGAATCGTGCCGCGTCACATTCAATTGGCGGTGAGAAACGACGAGGAACTGAGCAAGTTGCTTGGTGATGTGACCATTGCTAATGGAGGTGTGATGCCGAACATTCACAATCATCTTCTTCCCAAGAAGGGTGGTGCTGCATCTAAACCTTCCGGTGACGACGATTAGATCAGTTCTGTTTTGTTGGTTTGCAGCTGATTAAATGTGTAGCGTGATTTAGATTAAGCTTAGGTCTTGTTTTTGCTTTTTTTTTTTCTTTTAATTTTGATTTATCATTAGGCTACCGTGTAGAGTCCTTCTGTTTCAAAACTAAACTTTGATCTTAATGAATGGATGTTATTATTTGATTCTGAATTCTCTTTACCCAAATTTTGTCCCATTTATTGGAATCCACAAACGAATTTGCATATCTTGGCCATTAAACCCAAATTTGCGACCGCTCAGATTATGAAGCCAAATTTGGTCAAATTCTGATTAAAAACGCTGTTCTACAACTTCTATTGTTAGTTCACATAACGTTTGCAGTGTGGGTTAATGGTATCAAGTTCCAATTGTATTGTTTTTTCATTGTTGAGCAATGCTTTTGTTCAAACTCTCTTCCTATATAATTATCATGATCTGTTCACACTTCACACCAATGATGGCCTCTTGGGTGATTAAAGGTCATGAATGGTAAGAAGCAACTAGTCTTTGTCTTCTCCTTTGAACACATTCTCAACAAAAATCTGATCTTGTACCAAGTTTCTGTTGTAATCACCAAAAAGGGATATCATTTGGTCATGCTCTGACTCTGTATCGAAAGCATGCATTAAGAAACTAGCCGTATGATGGAAAAAGAAGACTCTTTCAACGCCAAGTTCTTGAATTGGTTAATTAGGTTCATGGAGTTAGGTTTCTTTATCAAAAACACCGACCCTTTATAGGGGATCTCTCTTTATTTCCAGGGAAAGTGAAAACTGAACAAGAACAAATACTACACATTGGAAACTAATCAACTACTTCTTCCCAGTGATGTTTGAAACCAAATCCTTGAGAAACTTTGCTGATTTGGTGATAGGCGAATTCATAGCCATCAAGTTATACAGAACAAGCTCGACTTCATCGATTGATGGCCTAGCTTTGAATTGTGACACCACTTTCAATGTGCCATTGCCTTCTTCTTCTTCAACGAGAACGTTCCATCTCTCTCCACTCACAACACCGTCTCTCACACACTTAAAGATCACTCCTTTTCTCTTACTCAGCACTCCTCTCACTTCTAATCCTGTAAACGCGTAGATCACTTCAAAGGAACCGATGAATCCGTTGAATTCATCTCCAAAGCTCTTCTCTTCTTCGTACAACCATCTCGGATTCATCATCACCACAGGCTTGGTGGAGAAACCTTCCGTCGCTTTTCTCACATCTTCCAGTTGCGATCTCTCCGGCGCCATGAAAACCGCCACGTCAGCAGATCTCAGAGCTCCTTTGACGGATTCTGAAACCGGAGACACGGCAATGTGGTTGGTATTGTCGGACCGGAAAGCTTTAACGGCGGCTTCGATGAAAGAAGGGTCTGGCCAGAGGAAGAGAAGCTTGACATTGGAGCCTTTTCTCGAGATGGGTATGTCACTGAAGATCGAAGAAGCGAGCTGAGAGAGAGAGGAAGGAGAATCGTCGTCAAGGATTGGGATTTCGAGACGGAATCTTGGTTGTTTGAGCCTCTTGAGTTTTGGGGAAGCGAGCTTGGGGTTGTTAAGTGGTTTGATGAGACAAGAAGAGAGACAATTCTTGGCTTGAGAAATGGCTTCTTCTTTGGAAATTGGAGGAGAAGAAGGAGAAGGAAGAGAGAAACAGAGAGGAACGAGGAAACGAGTAGTGGTGGTGGATTTGTGACTGAGCCGTGAATGTCGTGAGAGTGATTTAGGGAAATGAAGATCTGAAATTATGGATTGAGGATGATATGGCGAAGAGGAAGATGGATTGAGAGCTTTGAAGGTCTGTGAATTGAGTTTGAAGAGAGTAGAAGACGCCATGGCTGAGAAGAGGAAGAGCAGAGAAAAGTGGATAAGGTCATTCAAATAAGAAATTCGCACGTGCGAAGTTCTCCTCACACAAGTGGAACAAAAAAAAACACAAAACCGATCGAAGTATAAACAAAGTTTTGGTTTCGGTTTTAGCTCGGTTTATCTCATCTCTGCTGTTTTCAAAGATGGAGTATTTCTCTTTTTTTTTTGCAATGGGAAGGTACAAAGAAAAACTATGTAGATGATTAGTTTTGAAATCATATAACTAATTACAGTACTCTTAGTTAGGTAAACTTTACATTGATGCATTCATCTTATCGTATAGCATGTGATTGTTATGACCTAAACCTAAACGTTACAACATAGGTTGAATCAACGATGAGAAAACAGAAACTGCAAGTGGATCTAGCTAGCTTTTGGTTATAATCTTTTAATTCAGTATAGTTTGTTTGGTTCAAAATATTTGATGGCTAATCATGGAGATTCAATGAAACTTTATTAGTTGATGTTTGATGATTTGCTTCAACGTGGTAGATTTCATATATAGACGAGATGCGCAAAAAAAAAGAAGTAGAAATTAGAAAATAGTATATTCTTTTTTTTTGCAAGAGGAACAAAAGTAAAAAAAAAAGGAATTAATAAATACTATGTTGAGGATTTTGGTTTGAAACCAGATAACTAATCTTGCTTTTCAATTCTTTATCATATTGCATATAGAAGAAATAAGCAAGAATAATAATGTTTATTGACAAATCTTGTTCAAACATGAAAGCAAACAAAGAAAATGTAAGCGGTCTAGTTCATAAGATTTGCACAGAAGTTGGAACTTAAGAGCACCTAAATAGGTGAAGTTGTATGTCTGCTGATTCTCTGAGATCCACTCTTTTGAAATAACCCTTCTCTCCAATCATGCAAGCTTTAAACGTCAAGCGATCTTCACCAAAAACTACAGCGATTTTCTTCTCCTCTTCAATGAAGAAAATTTTTCTTGATATGTCAGAGAAGAAACTTGTAAACTCTATAAAGTAAGCGAGTGGCTTCATATCAAAGCTTAAGAATTTGCTCCACGAAACCGCATCAGACTCAATTATATTCGTAACCCAAATCTCTATCTCATTCGTATCCCACAGTTCCACAAACAGCGCAAGCTGCTCTTCTCTTACCGCAGATAGAGACACATTGCATTCAGGACTAGAGTCAAATGGCAGACGCAGACGCGGTCCAAAAATCTCACTTGTAAAATCAAAACAGAGTAAGAAACAATCTTGTGATCCCTTAACTCTAGCATACCAATAAGTATTTCCCTTCAAAGACACGCCAGGATTACCATACGGTATCTTTATATCCCGGTCAAGAGTGGCATTAATAACCTTCCATGAATCAGAGCTTAGATCATAGATTTTTAAGTGATTGTAGAAAAGCATCAAGATTTTGTGGCGACGGTATATGGTTTTTCGTATCCGAAAGATAACCAGTCTAATATGTGGTTATTATTTCGGAGTTTGATCCATCTACTTTGCCCTAAATACGGGTTCCAAACCACAAGACTATCATTTTTGAACGGTTTGAATACACATAGCAATAAACCGTTGCAGTGAAAGATCTGAAATATATTGCATACATGATGTGAAGTTTCTCGGGTAATAAGTTGACCTTGACAGTGTATGGAGAGATCAAAGTTGTTCTTGTTGTGAGTTTCGTAGAGATTGACGCTAATCAAATGAACACTATAGTCCTTGATCATCACAAACTCTCTTGCTATTGCTGATCCTGCTGCTACTTTGCCAATGTGCTTATTCGTAAAGATCGTATCTTTGGATAAAGATTTCCACGTTTTACAAGTAGATCGAACGGCTTCCATAGATTTAACCGGAACCCTAGAGAGAATCTCCTCCACCAATTCACTTGGAAGATTGGATATCCTCGTCCTCATTGTTTCAAGTTTTCAAAATAATTAGGATCGATGTACACACAGATAAAATTTAAATTAGGTCAACCTTCAAGAAACTCTTTCCTTTTTTTCCCTCTGTGGTTGCTGATTTATACCGGAGAGGCTGTCGATGGATTGTTACTGAAGACACAGAAACCCTAGTGACGGTGGAGACGTTGTTATTGGGCCACTCATATTTAGGCCCATTACACGTATTAGGCAGCTTTTGAAACATTGTGACAATTGATGATGATGCATTCATCTTATCACAAAGCATATGACTGTGTTATGACTAAAAAGGTACAACATAGGTTGAATCAATGATGATAAACAGAAACTTAAAGTGGGTCTAGCTTTTGGTTTTAATCTTTTCATTCTAGTTTTGTTTGGTTCAAAATGTTTGATGGCTAGTCATGGAGATTCAATGCAACTTAATTAGTTGATGTTTGATGATTAGCTTTAATGTGGTAAAGTTCATATAGAAGTGATTAGCAAGAAACAGAACTGAAGTTAAAAGTAGAGATTAGAAAACGGAACCTGAATCATGATGGAGGAAAATAGTATATTAATTCCTTTTTTTACAAAAAGAACAAAAGTAAATATATAAAACAGAGGAATTAACTAAAAGTATGTTCAAGATCTTGGTTTTGAAACCAGATAAGTGATCTTTCCCTTCAATTCTTTATCATATTTCATATAAAAATGATGAGGAAGAATATTAATATTTATTGGCTAATCTTGTTCAAAGAACATGAAAGCAAAAAAGAAAATGTAATAGTTCATAAAATTTGGACAGAAGTTGGAACATATGAGCACACAAATGGGTAAAGTTGTATGTCTGCTGATTCTCTGAGATCCACTCTTTTGAAATAACCATTCTCTCCAACCATGCAAGCTTCAAACCTCTTGTAACCTTCACCAAAAACCACAGCGATTTTCTTCTCCTCTTCAATGAAGAAATTTGTCAACACTGAAAAGCAAGTGAGTAGCTTCATATGATCAACTTTTAAGAAGTTGCTCCACGACACCTCATCAGGCTCGATCTTATTCGTAACCCAAATCTCCATCTCAAGCGTATCAAGCCTTCGCATTAACACTGCAAGCCGCTCTTCTCTAACCTTAGATAAACACAAATCGCAATCAACATTAGAGTCAAATGGCAGAGCCAGACGCGGTCCAAATCTCTCTCTTGTAAAATCAAAACAGAGTAAGAAAAAACTTCGTGATTCGACACCTCTAGCATACCAATAAGTATTTCCCTTGAGAGACACGCTAGGTTTACCATACTCTATCTTTATATTCCGATCAAGAGTGGTATTAAGAACCCTCCTCCATGAATCAGAGCTTAGATCATAGATTTCGAGGTGATTATAGCAAACAAACATCAAGATTTTTGTGTTGACGGTATGGTTTTTCGTATCCGAAAGCAAACATGTCAATACATTTTTGGTGTTTGATCCATCTTCTTTGCCCCCAATACGGGTTCCAAACGACAAAACTATTATTGATCTGTCTGTATACACATAGCAATAAACCGTCGCAGTAAATGACTTGAGATATATTGCATACTTGATATGAAGTTTTTCGGGTAACAAGTTGACCTCGACGGTTTATGGAGAGATCAAAGTTGTTGTTGTTGTTGTTGTGGGTTTCGTAGAGATTGACGCTAACCAAATAAACACTAGAATATTTCTTGATCATCACAAACTCCTTTTCCCTTGCTGCTGATGCTTTGCCAATTTGCTTATTCGTAAAGCTCGTATCTTTGGATAACGAGTTCCACGTTTTACAAGTAGATCGAACTGCTCCCATAGATTTCACCGGAACCCTAGAGAGAATCTCCTCCACCAATTCACTTGGAAGATTGGATATCATCGTCTTCATTGTTTCAAGTTTCAAACTAGGATCGATGTACACACAGATCAAGTTAGGTCAAACTTGAAAAAAAGCCTCTTTTCTTCTTTTCTCTGTGGTTGCTTATTTCTTCCGATAGGCTATCCATAGATTGTTATTGAAGACTCAGAAACCCTAAATGTAGTTTTTCTTTCCGACGAAACCCGAAATAAGAAGTACTAAACTGTTACTGGGCCATTCTTATTTAGGACCATTTTACGAATTAATGGCCAGACCCGGCTCTTGAAACACTGTGGCTACAACAATATATAGCATCTTTGCTATATACTGTACAATACTAAATTCTATACTTTCTCATGAATCTCTCTAATTCATCTAACACATTTCATGAATAAGGTATTTTGCAGAACGAAGATGCAAAAAGTTTGTATAATAAGATTTTCAAGACAATGAGGATTATAATAGTGATGCATATCGAGAAACAATTAAGGAATTTTGGGAAATCTTGTTTGTCTTTGAGCTTTTGGTTTTGCTCTTTTCATTAAATTCAGTTTGTTTGGTACAATGTTTTTGATGATTCGTCATATGAAATGTTGATATTAGCTTCAGTGTGGTAAACGTCGACTTCATAGAAACTGAACTTGAACCAAAATCACGTTGTTTGATAATGTCTCAAAATATTGATGTTTGAAACCATCAAGATATACAGATTAATACTCTCTACTACTTGATGATCCATTAATGGCTGACAATAGGATGATGAGGAGGACAAGATCACAAGAGACAAGAGTCATTCTCTCTATAGTCTATCATCAATAATCTAACTCACGTCGGTCAGAATTTTTCACGCGTGTGAACCGAGTATCCTCGCACGTGACAGCATTACAGTAACAACATCCTCAAGATTCCACTCTCACATGAGAACAACACATTTTGTGATTAGAAAGTAGAGTTTTTTCTGTGAATTTTATTTATATTACACCCCAAAACTTTGTTCTCATGGCCGAGAGACGCGACAATTTATCGATTCCACGTCTGAGCTTTTTTCTACGGACCCAATTTTCT